GTACAAGGGACAAGACACTAAGACAAGTGTTTTATTATCCCAATTCAACATTATAAATGTTCGGAGAATAGTATACATTTACAAAATACTTTTTCCAACGACCACTTAGGAAAGTGACACATATCGCACTATTTAGTGTCAAATATGCCAGGGGAATCATTTCTATTTTGAGCCATGTTCATGGTAATAGTAAAATTGTTTTGATGAGTAAATTGTAAACATTTAGGTATTTTTTATACATAGATTCTAAATAATTATTTTTAATATTATTTTTTTGTTAATACACGTAATCGATTAGATAATTCACTTGACCTGTTAGCTGAGTTTGTTGAGTATTTAACTTAATAAGCTTTGGGTTTCGTAACGCGGTTTCAATTCCCTATAGAAGCTAACTTTTAACTTTTTACTAAAAGTGTTTTACCTACACCTGTACTGAGATCTATATTGTGAACCCACAATATTTTGGTCACCAGCCACCAGTGTATCTAGTGTTTTTATAAATATGAGGTGTTAAAAAATGCAAATATATTGTAAACTTAATATTTCAAATTGATTTGTTAAGGTGTATTTAGAGTTTTCTGGGCTGTCAGTTCAAATACTTATTGGTCAAAAATATCGTACGAATATGTATTTATTACATTTAAATTTAAACACAACCCAGTATACTTTAAAATTATAGTGCTTTCAAAACCGTTTCATACAAAATAGATATTCCCTATACCTCTTTTAGTCCAATCATTATAGTAAGTTCACCTTCAAACAAAATTTTTAGAGAATTTTGTATTCTACAATATTGATAATAAATACAAATAGCAAAAAACCCATAGGAAATGAGATATTTACAAAAAAAGCGCAAAAAAACCGATTTTTTTTTACCTTTGACCTTGAAATTTAATAGATGCGTACACCCTACTATATGTAGGTTTTGAGACAACTTTTAGGGTGTCAATATACAAGTATTTACAGACTTACAGCTGGGTATCTCGAATTCCGAGATTCTTACCTAATTTAAGCTTAAATGACTGGACTATTTGTTGTAGTTATAAAGATAATAGCTTAGTTGCCTATATATTGCCAATTCTTTCACTAGGTTCCATGACCCGAGTTGTCCAAGCTAATAAAAAAATATAATAAAAAATACATAAAATAAATACGATTTAATTAACTTGAATACGTGATATTTTTAAATGCTAATTTTTTACAATAATTCTTCAAAACTTCTACAGTATTCAGGTTATGTTAAAATTAAATAAAAATAGTAATGTTAAAATTAAGTAAAAATAGTTTTTTTTCTAGTTTGTTTTCATATAAAATAGTTCAATCAAGTATTTTCTGAAGTAATTTATCCTGACGTTTGTTGACACATACTATTAAACAAATTTTTCCTACGACCACTTAGGAAAGTGACACATATCACACTATATAGTCCTATGGAAAGTGCCCTATATCACACGCGTATGAATAAGAATTTACTTTCCACCCGAGTGAGAATATGTTACTTTCCGCAGTAGTTGTCACAAAATGTCAAACACCTAAATTTCTATTTTGATCTATGTAATGTCCATATTAATACTTAAATCGATATGATTGTTAAATTATTGAAATTGTTGTAAATTAGATCCTAGATATTTATCTTTAACAATTATTAATAAAATAATTTTAAAATAATGTTTGCTCTTTATTCTGGTTAAATACATAACCGATTAGATCATTAAATTGACACAAGGGCTGTTAGCTCAGGTGGTTAGGACGTCGAACTTATCAACTTTGCCATTTTTCGACCGCGTTCAAATCCTGGCGGAGCAGATTTTTTTTTGTTTTTTATTTTTTTTTATTTTTTGTAAATATGAAAATTAAATAAATACGATTATTGTTGATTATTTTTTTAAATACTTTTTAATTATTATAGTAATAATAACCTTGGTTTTACATTTTTTTGATGACATTATTTTGTGGTCGTAGGAAAAATATTGTACATCACTTGTGTGAAAAGTGATTTTCCACACTCGTAATGTAATATACTATTAGATTGCAGTTTCAAATTAAAAATGAGGTAAGCTTGATATTATCTAATATATTTTAATGAGCATAGTGATGATTTATAGAGAATCTGTAAAAGAACATCTCATCTAGTTAAAGGTTATTTCAGAAAAGTTGTCCCAATTGGCTTTTTCCAGATCGTAAGACCTTCATTTCTGTATGCAATCATTTAAGATATTGTGGAAATTTTAAAATGAATAATTACCAAAAATAGTTTATGGTTACAAACTATACAAAATACTGCTTTCTATACAGATATTATAGTCCGAGATAAATATTTCCTCATTCTTGTGTCAGTCTTGTCAAAGAACATTAAAGAGAAATATATCCCTACAAGGTTCATGTTTTAAATATTAGTATTTATTAGCGTTATGTTTATTAAATTACTGAATTTTCACTTATAATACCACTAGTGCCTAAATTATTTCCAGAAATACTGTATTCAATGCTAAAATATTTTTGAAAAATATTACAGCGTTGTCAAGCGAATAATTTTTTTGTAAAAAAAAAGTATGATGCACCAGTAAAATAATCATAATTTAGGTAGCTTAGCAATGATTTAAAAATTGTTTAAAATACAGACTAATAAGATACTAACCTAACGAATAGTGATGATCAAACTGGTTCATTTTATACAGAGTGATTTAAAATATGTAATAAATGTGACTCATTTTAAATATTTAATGGACTATAACAACGTATCTTAATTACATCGAAATAATTATTAATTGTGTTTATTTTAACAAGAAAACATTGATTTTTCCTTTTAATTAAGCATTTAGAAAAAAATCATTTTTTATGACATTCACCCTGTAGAATAACTACAAATTGTTACAACGGTGCCAAATATATTAAAATACTTTAAAATCCAGGATTCATGTTAAATACAAACGATTCAGAAACAGAAATATAATACACAATTGTATGAATTAATTTTAGTTTCAAACTGACCTAATAATATATATGAAGTTGTTGCAATTATATAAATGCCTGAGTATCCAGAGGTTTAACTGTTAAAGGGGATAAAAGTGTTTTACCTGATGAACCCAAATCAACCTCTTGTAGAAACCACCATTATCATTTATGTTTCAAACTACGCCCCCTCACTTTAAATATGATACATTTTTCGCTTCATGTCAACGATATTATGTATTGGTCAAAACTGTAAATAACAGACGTGCGTGGTTTGACAAGCGGTTGATTTAAACTACCGCCTACAAAAATAATAAATTAAATTTGTATTATATAGTAAAATATTTCCCATATAAAGTGAGCCTTTTTTACCATTTTGACCATATAAATACAGCCTAAAAAAAAACAATATAATATATGACTGAAGTGAGGGTGATAAATTTGATCATATTAACAAAAAAACATGAGCTTAAAATTAAAAAATTTGTGCTAGGAATGGTTTTATTTTATTTTATACCCTTTGGACCCTCCGTAGTATTACCCTAATCCATTTGTAGCGTGGTGGCACTGCAGCTTGCAGTTTATTGTACCATCATTTGAACGTCCCACTACTTTCTCAATTACTCACTTATTCACTGTTAATAATTTCGCGTCGTCGATGGTTAAACGCTTGTTGACTAATTTACACTAATCTTACGCTAGCCGCTCGGCTAGAGATGGTTTCTAGGAGGTGGTTTGGCAAAGGTTAATTTGATGCTATTAAATCATTTAGACAATAGCTGGACAGAATCCTATAGGACACCCGGTATATATCCTACACAGCTAATATCAAGTAGGAATATTGCCCTCTGTCGGTATGCCGTAAAGGATTATCATTTGGTATTTATACAAGCCAAAAAGTACTAAAGCTTATTTTCCTCTTTGCTACTGAAGCTGTAACATTTTGTGTTGTATTAGTGTATTTTGAATTGATTTAATATTTTTTTTAATTATTGAACATTTTTTGTGAAAGACAACAGCCATGTCTAAAACAATTAAAAACAGGTAAGTTATATGTACTTTTTTCTAAAAAATGACTTAAAAGGCTACTTATTGCTTCTATTCTCTTCAGTATTTAATTTTAAAAATTTGTGCTAGGTATCTGATTTATATACGAAATTTTAGACAAAAAAAACCAGACCGTTTCCTTCAAAAACAGGTAGTCGATCTAAAAAATCGACACTGATAAAAAATCGTTGCTGTTAAAAACAGCCAATAAACAGAACATTGCAAATTTAATGGAGTAAGTAAATTATAAATTTCCAGCTAACTACTTCTTTATATTGCTAAAACAGGTCAATTTTGATTTCTAAAATGACAATATTTTAACATAATTATGTACCTTTTGCTTCAACCGCTTTAGAGTGACAGCAACCAATTCAAATTTTTAAAAAGTTTTTAATTCTTTATTCAGTCACATAAGGATTTTTGCTTGTATTTTTCTAATTTTTAACAAGCAATGGTGTATTTTATTAAAAAAAAATATTAAAATGAAATAATTTTTCAGATTCTTGTAAAACATGTTCAGCTTTTTTTGGGTAGATTTGCTGGATTTACAGTTATGCTTCTTCATAAAGAAAAATGTCAAAATTTTAAAAAACTTCTATTACTGGAATGGGTATTAACCCCTTTAAAAAGAGGTATGACATGATCACTCATTTCATTTTAAAATAAAAAGGCGGTAGTTGTCAGTTTAAGGGGTTTGAAGAAGTAGGTACCTATACAATTATTTGAATTGAAATACACATACGATTGTCTACGATAGGCTATCAATAAACATACTCTAATTTTACACACACTGTATAATACCTTTTTATTCATTGAAACTAAATAAACAAACAAGTATTTATTTACAAAACCGTTGCAATTCTCTTTACTCGGTGAACATCTACTGCAGATGCATATTCCGGGTATAATACACCAAAACCCAAAATGTCGTGTCTGCCCTGACACACTCTCGGGCCCGGATTCAGCGAGACAACTTTTCCAGCATTACGATACCAGTACCACGACAGTACCGGTGAAGGTACCACGTGCGACCTCAGATGGTGTTGTTGATGGTGATGTTTATGTTGGTGGTATCGGGTCAATATGTGATTCATCTCGCGATCGGAAATTAATTTGCCTAATATTAGGCGAGGCCGGCACTGAAATTGAGGTAAGTTTTATTGTTGGTTAAAATTTTATTGCGTTTTAAAATACTAAAAATTTAAACATTAGATTTGTTATTATTGACAAATCTATTCTATGGATTCCATTATTGGATCTTAAATAAATTTATATGGAACCACCCCTGAATTATTTTATTTCCAACAATAAAAGAATCATATAAATCGGATCACGTGGTAAAGAATTATAGTTGGTCTTCCATAAAAATAGAAATATATTCCGACGATTTGAGAAGCTCCTCTTTTTTTTAATTTGGTTAAAAAGTATATAAAATTCGAGAGACGTTAAAATGGTGGTTCCTACCTTATCGAGACTGAGTCCCACAAGGGTAAACTCGTAGCGTAACAAAAACGAGAAATGATTTAACTTGGAACGAAAGACCGAAAGCCGATAATAGTATTAGGAGGTTTAATTTTTTGGTTTGTGAAGCATTGGCATTACTTAGGTTAAACCATGTGATTATTTTTACAAGCCTTGATTTTTAAAAGCATTCTATATCGCCTTTTGATAAGGGTTTAATAACTTGTTCGAGCAATTTATCCAATATTAATTGGCCCATTTACCTCTTAAGCCTGCTCATGTTGCTCATGTAATATATTTGGGCTCCTTACTTCGCCTATTTATATTCTATTAATAAAGGACAGAAGGATAAGTATTGCAACTATGTTAAAAGAAAGAAATTGGCTTTCAGTTCAGAATTATGTTCAGTACATGACTGATATTTATTTATAAAATAAAAATGGCATATTATCATCGCATCAGATCTATTAGAAAAAATTCAATATAATTCGCAATATTACAACTATATTACAAGAAGCCAATCTGACTTTCATGTACGGCAAGCCATCGCTAAAAGTTCCCAAAATATAATTTTTATTAAAGGTTTAAAAAATTTAATAGACTGCCTACAGAAATTAAAAAAAAAACAACAATAAATGTATTCAAAAGTAACCTCAAATAATACTTGATAAATAAACAGAACGAATATACTTTCTTGTGATAATACTCTTTAAACCTGCCCATTTTAAGTATTTCCCTTAATTTATTGTTATTTTACCCCTTGTTTTACCCGCATTTATTATAAATTATTTGTTTTGAGATTATTTACTTTATTTTAAAAAATTACTTGATGTTATATTAATACTACTTACTATGTTTAAATTATTAATAGTTTCGCGACGATAGGTTATAGCAACTTATAGCCACAAAACTATTTTTATGTTAAAGTAGATCCGTAGAGAGCAATGTAATTTACAAAGGCCTTTTTTCAACATGCAAATAAATAACAACTTTATAATTAAAATGAAAAATACAACAAAATACCTCTGTATCATAATTGAACACAATTTGAAATGGGTTGATCACATTACGTCATTAAAATCCCAAGGTAAGTAGATTCATTTTTAAATTTTATGAATTGGGGAAATGTATGACAAGGAGTTTACTAATTACTATTTACAATTCGCTGGTTAAATATGTAATCCAAAATCGTATAATTAAAATTATCTATAAAAAAACCAGCATTATATCCTACCTCCCTTTTATATAATAAAAAAGTGCTTTGTATAAGAACATTAAATTATCTGTCTTACTGTACCTTTATTTATGGAAAGCCTGAATTAAGATACATTACAAATTATTTGCAATAAATATCAAAAAAAGCATACATTTTAAAATAATTTGACTTCTAAGACCTATTCGCACATCTTGATACTTGACAGGCACAGCCAAGCATTATTCTGATGAAGGTGTTTTTGTGGCTAGGGGCGAAATAGTAGTACGCTCAAGTTAGCACCACCATAGAAAAGTCATTTTTAAGAAACTGCTTATACAGTGTGTCTGAAAAAGTTGGCAACAAATGGGAAACTTTTTTATTATTAAGTTTAGGAAAAAACGTCATTCTTCATAAAAAGTTCTGCAAGGCCTAAAACCCAATATACGATAATCAGATATCGAAATTTTCCAATCGTATACGAGGTTTGTCAAAAAGTATGAATTTTGCTCAAGAGTAAAGTACCTTTATTTAAACGTAGTTTTCAATTCTAATCAACTTTTCTTAATAACAATTTTAGATATTGTCGAAAATAAAGGTACTTTACTCTTGAGCAAAATTCATACTTTTTGACAAACCTCGTATACGATTGGAAAATTTCGATATCTGATTATCGTATATTGGGTTTTAGGCCTTACAGAACTTTTTATGAAGAATGACGTTTTTTCCTAAACTTAATAATAAAAAAGTTTCCCATTTGTTGCCAACTTTTTCAGACACACTGTATATTTTTCATAAATTGGCAGGCTTGGCGACTAATTTTGAATAAAAATAGCCTCCAAAATGGCTATGGTTGCAAGTATGAAGGTCGCAACCCGCCTTAGAAATTTCACCTTTACTATCAACAGCTGTTGTTTGACAGATCCTTAGAGAATGTTTGCAATTTATGGAATGTTAAAAATGTTAGGAATGTTGACGTTAGAAATAATTGGAATTCCTAATATTGTCACGTGAGAAATGCATAGGCGGATTTTAAGAAAATTGATATTAAAGTAGTTAGGATGAACCGAACATTCTGAAAATCAATAGGGTTCTAAGTTAGAAGTAGTTATTCAAGAAAATCAAAACCACAAGTCAATCAGAACTTTCGTTCCAGAGTTATCGTGCCGACATACATACACACAGACGACCAGACGATTTTTTTTTGCATTTTTAGACTGGGGGTAAGAAAATTTTTTCGTCTGCATGAATGCAATACTGAGGCCCCATAGAAAGGGCCTCAAAAATTGGCATACAAATCAGAGATTCAATAATAGATTCATAATTTAGTATGTAAACTGTGTAATGGTATTTTTTAAATCATTTACATACATACAGGGTGTCCCGAAAGCAGATGGTCATATTTTAACAGCGAAATCTACACGCTAAAATAGGAGTAAAAGTTCATAAAAACATAGGTTCGAAAACGTTTCGTTTTTAAGATACAGGGTGTTAAAAGTTAAATCTTGATGACACATTTTTGTAAATATTTTCTAAACGTTTAAAGATAACTAAGTGAAATTTGGTACAGATACTACACTTTTTATGCTATATTTAATGGATCAAACCCTAGTGTTTAATTATCTACATAGGTACATTAGGGAGGGGGTTTTGGGCAAAATTAGTTTAAATAAATAGTTAAAGAAATAAATTCTCATCAATCCTTTTATTGGGCCAAATCCAACCAAACCATTTGGAAAAAACAAGTTTCTTTATAAAAAAACCATTTCAAAAACAATTAAAATTAAATAAATTTCTTAATTTACCGGTTCTCCAAATCTCAAAAAAATAAAATTTTCAATTCCACAAGCCTACTAATTATTCTTTGCACTTTCAAATTACTTATCGAAGTTATCATAACATTTTCAAATGCTTTTCTCTTGAAAATTGTGCGTCCTTAAATGTGTCATCAGAACTTCGCACTTTTAACACCCTGTATCTCGGACGTTTTCGGACCTATGTTTATATGAGCATCCTATTTTAGGATGTAGATTGAGATGTTAAAATATAACCGCATAATTTCGGGACACCCTGTATATTGCATACAATGTATCTAAAATTTCTTTCTGAAACAGAATTTGTCAGTTTTTCAGTAAATTCGTTTATATTTTGTAGGTTCAAAAATAATTTTAATTTTTTCGTAAGGATAATTTTGAAAAAATGTATTCGGAAATTTCCAAAAAATTGAAATAAAATTGATTTTTAAAATTTTGTTATTAAGAATTATCACAAAATCAATGCAGGGGTATCTCAAAGCACAACTTTAGTCCCAAATCTAAAACATGTCAACGATTTAATTTTATACATTTCTAACCATAGATAAAAACCATATCACAAGTGGTTAGTTCCAGCTATATTATTTGGAGCCACCATCGCAAATAAGATGGCAGCGATGTTGCCAGTTTCCATAAACTTTCATGAGATTAGAGTTAATTCAAACGCTGCACCTTATATTGTTTTTGTTGTGCTCGATACCATCCATACTATTTCTGGGATACTTTAAAGAGAGGTTTGACAACTGTGTTGATAACCTCGTTAAAAATGAAAAACGGAATGGCGGAAGGCGAAATGGTCGAAAAAGGCATAAAAATCATCATAAAATAAAAGTTATTATGATGTAAGATGTAGTGGATATAATTATCCTTCCTCCATGGGATATAGTTCCATAGATAGGTAAGTTATTTTTAGGCTAAGAAGATTGATAAGTGCTGATTTGATGTAACTATATTAACAATTTAATTTAATAAGGTGCTAGATACATTAAGGTCTTTGTTTATCATTGTTTTCTTATAGCCTTAACGAAGTATAATTTCATTTTGGATCGATTTTCAATTATTTTTTAATATACCTATTTGTATCAAAACATGTCTGGCCCGGGTAAAATTAAGTATTCTTGTTCAGCCCCTTAATTGTTTAAACAAGTATTATTATATTATTCAGCAGGCTGGTTATTCAAATAAAACCTTTTTTATTAGTGATAAACAATTTGAACAACCCTCTGTTAAAAATGATAAGTAATTTTCAAATATGTTAGATCAACTAGAACAGATTAGTTAAAATATAATTCAAATCAACTATTGCATTATAAGAAATAAATTGAAATGTTTTTTACGAACTAATTTTAAACAAATTAAAAATAACTTTGCTTGTTCAATAAGATGTAAGTATGTACACTTTTTTTGTTTTTATAGGAAACCCCTGACACCCCAAAATTTGGTCCAGTTTTCCAAGAATATGAGGAGAATACTATTAATTTCACTTACAGTTGTTGTTATTTGTACATGTTAGGTATGTAATAAATGTTTAAATGCACCTTACTTCTATTAAATTATTAAACTATACCTACCTGTTGTTTCAAATATTTTAATATATTTTTAATTTATATTTTTTATAGTTTTATTACTTAAAAAACTAATATTTATGTTAAAAAGAGTATTTTAATATAAATATTATTTTTTTAAAGTAATGAATGCCAAAAAATGTAAGTAAATAATAAAGGACATTTGAATAAGCCGCGTTTAGGTTTGACACTCTTCTCTTTTATTTTCTTCTTTTGTGCTGACTCTAACTGTCAAGTTAATCAGCCAATTGGTTAGCGTGCGATGGTGGCGCCAAATAGTATGGCTGGAACTAACCACTTGTTACCAGTGCCGTGCATTTAAACGGTTTATCTTTTAATATTAATTTATCTATGTTTCTAATCCTATCCATAGATATGCAAACGAAAGCACTCTGTAAACTAGTGTTAAGGCCACTAAACCTTTACACTAAAGCTGCTATCACTACGAGGTCTCTCTCATTGAAATTGCCACATAAAACTTGAAATTTATAAATTTATCTGACATGAGAGTTATTTTTAGATATACATGTTTTATTAATTGGGCTAACTTCAATGAAACGGATATTCGCGATTCAAATTAATTTTCGCGCGCCTGTCATTTGCCACCTATAAGTAGGATGTTTATTTATATGAGTTTGTTTTGGGCGGATTTTGTATTTGTGATTTTTTTAACTGTTTTTAGATAATATTATCATTGTAATAGTGTTTTTGAGTTTCATTTAGTGTTATTTTACGTTTAAGTCTCGTGCTTTCGTCATAAATATAATATTTATCATGTTTATGACTTAATTTGTTGGAAATATTCACCTATTGGTTGTCAAAAGAACATCTAAAAATATGTATTTACTAAACCCAAGACATGTTTTATTATGTGGTTTAAAGGACATTTCAGGTACCAAACGTTTAGGTATTATTGTTGAACTTATTTAAAAATCTTAGACTTATATAGACTTATTCTTATATTATGAAGTGAATTATGTAGTACTTTGTACACATATAAATGGCAATAAAACCGTCACAAATCAGATTACAGTTTAATTCTAAACAGATTGCAATTTGCTATGGACTTTTTCGCAGATTTAATTTTTAATATAAACACTATCACATATTATAAAAAAATAAACAAATTTAAAGCTACAAAGTAAGAAAAAACTCGAATTGTAATTGATACAAATTAAAATGTTAACAATGAACACGAACGCCAATGTTACCAAATGATGAACTGATTTTAAAACAAAATTAATAAATTTAGTGAAATTTAGTTTTATAAAAAAATCCTTAAATAAATATAGAGTATGATTACATTTTACTATACACAAATTTTGATTCTTAAATAAAAGGTCTTATCCACTTCTTTAAGAGCTAAAATCCGATACCCTACTTATAATGGACCTTCTACAAATTTCCTCCAGAGGGCTTATCACTTAGCTTGAATCGCGAATCGAATAGTATCTCGTATCTCTCAAAACATGTTTGGATGTGTTGTTAGAACAAGTATTTTGGCTCTATTAGTTCCTGACGTTGTATATATCCAAAATATAACCTAACCTCGAAAACTGTAATCTCGTATAACATTTTTAATTCTTGATGTCATTTAGGAAAGAGCTGTGCGACTAATTAAAGACTCCAACTTCATTATCCCATCACTAGTTAGACCAGCCATATTGACAGAAATTAGTATATAACCAGCGACGAGCAACTACTAGACCAATTTTGTTTACATGATTCAAATTTCAGGCATTTTTTATCCATAGTTGCAAAATTATTATGGAAAAATCTTGTTACAAGAATTGATTATGGTTAAAATTCGGAATTGACTTAATTAAGGATCTGAAACGTTTTAAAGCCTTTCAAAATTACATAAAGAAATTATAGTTGCATTCTTAATTCCATTTATCTGTATAATGTATTTTTCTGGTTGTAACTATAAATGTAACTGAGTGTGATTTACAGAAAAGTACACCATTTATTTTACAGTGTACAGGATTCATAGCTGTACAAGCTAGTTCATTCGTAAAGCGCGTGCTCCCACTTCAGGTAAACAAGCTTGCATAAACTATCCCCACTTAATTTAATATTCATCTCGATCTTTGTAATGCAGCAGCCGATGCGACATAACCAGAATGGTCCTGCACTAAAATGGTACACGCTTAAATGCTTTATAAACAAAATTATACATTGTAAAAAACGAGGTTAAAAAGTGGTATGTGATTAAGCCTACCGAGTATACAGAAAGACTTGACTTTACAAAGGGATTTTGGATTTTTAACAATTAGGAATTTAATTTTGTTTTTAGTATGTGATTTTTCTAAGAATTTCAGGGATTATTGAATAATTTGATTTTTTAAAACAATTAAATAATTAAATAGTTTATAATTTAAACCTTTTTTACATATATGTTATTTCAAAAGTAAGTTAAATGTAATTAAATAAACAAATGATTCAAAATACACTGAAATATTTTTTTAAATACAACATAATAACAAAATATATAAAAACAAATGGTTAACCCTCTAGTCGCGGCGTCCTAAATTTTAACACCAAACGGTGCGCCAGATCTCAAAAGACCCTGCTCAAAAAAAATTTGGTGTTTTTTTTTATTAACGTGAGAGATAATAATAATACAAAAAAACCTATATCATTGAAACCAAATACATAAATAATCTACAGAAGGAGAACATAAGTACTGTAGAGCTGCAAAACTGCCAAAAAATGCAAGAATCTCACCTATATTTCACAAAAATGATTTTAGACATTCTAAAATATACGTAAAATAATTTTTTATGGATAATCTCATCATCTCATCTTCCGCAGCTCTCTAAAAAGTAACACGTAGTGTTTGGGCTGCATTTTTGCCAGCTTGGCGATCTCTATTTATATTTGTGATTCGATTTCGGTTTTGTAGTTTATTAGTTCATGATATTCGTCAGCGCGCGTTTCTATTGTAAATGAAATACATGGATGTAGTTTATAATTTAGTAAATGAAAAAGTGATTTTTTAAATACGCGTGTTAGTAAAAGTTTCCTGCTAAAACAAACGCAGAATAAAATTAATTTATAAAAAGTGGGTGAATAAATGCTGTAAAATAATAGCTTTTTTGGGGGGTGGGTGAGGCAGAATCTTTAACCGCAAGTCGCCATTGATATCTACTGTACTCATTTTTAATACTCAGTTGATGGACTCATACATTTTCAAATACATTACTGTTCCTAGCCCCACAGCTAGTCGGAAATAAGCTCCTTCTTCTAGTGTCATTTATTTAGTACGCGAATAAACCTGTATGACATCCATCCCTTCTTACCTCTGTTCTTTCAAATCCACAAAAATATATTCTATTCTTGTTAATAAGTGATATTTAATTACAAAATAATTTTAGAATTGTTTTCCATTTTAATTTTTGCTTGTTACTTATTATTTTCATTGGTTTCTAATATTGAAACACGCGGTGACAGGTCATGACGCCTTCATATATTAATTATTGTTAAACAAAATGCAATTAAAAATAATTTATCGAAGAACAATGTTTCATATGAAGCACAAAACAATAGAATGAGACATGTCTTGAGTTTTTCTAGAACAATTATAGAAATTTAACTGTATATTTCATATGCAACTGATGTAGGCGTTTAAAAAGTATTGTTGGGTTGGAATAATATAAGGTTTGGTAGCGGAAAACATCTTTAGTACATTTTTAAATGGTTGTCAAATGGGCTATTAGGTCTTAAATTTATTTCTCCCGCGTCCTCCCACACAAAGTCGGTATTTTTCTTTAAGGTATTACTTCATTATTTGTTTATCTTTAATCTTCCACGTAAGCAGTTTTTCATCTGGTAGGGCGTCGTGAATTGAAATAAAACAAAACAAAAATAAATTAGGAAAATTTAATAAAGGTAAGTTCAATATTTTACAGAATAAAAATGCAGGTCTTAAAACCAGAAGAGGCCCTATATTAGTGTTGTATTTTTAAATGAAGGGTACCTGGGAAAAAAGATAAATATCCAAAAATTCTAATTTTAAGCAAATGGCGGGAATATTATGCTAAAATGCTGTTAGAATCCCATAAAAAATTAAAACCAATCAAAATAGATGAGAGTAGCAAGCCACAGCGAATCTAAATTTTACTGCACAGGGGAATAAAATAAACGTCTCGGCGAACTGGGAAAAAAAATGAATGTCCATAAATATGGCAATCGCGCATTGTTTGTTTTTCTCTCGATGCTTTTTCCCATTTTATTACGCGGTGTTTTACTATTTCAGTAGTTCATGTGCCGTTTAATCTACCACCTGCTGTATGCCACGTGCAATATAAATATTTCGCAATGAGTGACGAAGACATTGAAGTTGATAGTGCAGTTTTTCCTCTAAGGTCTAAGAAACGGAAATCTCATGGACGTATGAAGAACGTTGCTAAGTTATTAAAACTACGAAGCCATGAAACAGGCCCAAGTTGTAATTGTACTAGATTTAAGTGTTTTGAAAATGTCACCGAAAGAGAGAGGTTGCAAATAATTAAACAGTTTAATGAACTTAAAGATAATGATGAACAAAATTTGTATCTAGGTGGCTTAATTTTACATGCCCCCGTTAAACGACACCGAAGTAGAAAGAATAATGATGAAGATGTTGAATATCACTTATATTCGTACACGTACGAAATTCGTGTTCAACGAGATAATACAGCTATGAAAGTGCCAATATGTTATAAAGCTATGCTTTCTGTGCGAATATCTGCGAAACGGCTTCAGAATATCCAGCAGCAGTTAACCACTTTTGGACATGTTAAACACGATGGGCGAGGTCAACATTCCAATCAAAAAAATCGTCTCCTAGATGAAATATCCACTGTCGTTTTTGACCATATTGCTTCGTTTAAAGGCCAAAAATCACATTACAGTCTCCATGACTCCCAACGTGTATATTTACCGGAAGATCTTAACGTGAAAAAGATGTGCAAAATTTTTTTGCAACAAAATCCCAAGAAAAAGGTTTCCTACGAGACTTACAGAATAAGGGCTCAGATGAAGTAGCATTTAAGCTATTTCATTTTATTTTCAATTTCTTGGATGAGCGTGTCCAAGAGTTAGAAATTTTCTGCGATTCGTGTATCGGCCAAAACAAGAATTATTATCTTATTTCATTTACTGCGTTGTCCATAAAGACAAAACGCCTAAGAAAAATCAAGATGATGTTTCCAGTTCGGGTACAAAGCTCTCTAGAATGCGACCGCAACATGGGTCTAATAAATCAAAAGGTAGAACTTCCGGGTGAATAGAATAAGCAAATTCTGAGTGCTAGAAGTAAACCTGGTTCTTTTTGTGTAATTGACTGTGAAGATCAAAATATTTTTTGTTCATGGACGAATAACTCCTATAAAAAGTGTCCATTTAAAAACAGACCAATCAAGGAACTTACAGTACATACTGATATGCCGAGAATGATAGAATATCGTGAATCATATAACGGAGCTTGCACGACTGCTGTAGTGATACCGCCTAGAAGAAAGTCAAAATATATTGATTTGTTACCTTCTGGCCAATTTGAAGAACCTTCCCATATCTTTGAAAAAGTTTCAAGACCTACAAGAACTTAAAAGATTTTGTGTGCCCAATGCATGTAAACTTTGAAAACTTACCTTATAACCACATTACCGAAGATGAAGACGCTTAATTCATGTTAAAGGTTATAATTTACAATACTCAAGTTAACTTTTTGACGTTCGCTGTATGTTTTTTTATTATATTATAACATTACTTAATATTTAAATATTCTAATATTTTTTGTATGAGAATTTGTTTACTATTTTCGTTGGTACTACTTTTATATAACCAAAATTAAAGTTGTATGCTCTTTCGTTTCAATAAATAATGCAATTACTAGCACATAGTTTATGATAAATTACTCCATTTCCCCACTCGAACCTATGTAGAATAACTCCAAATATTTTTTTTTCCAGCTACAAAAATAAACCTGTGCACTCAATAATTGGTAACTAAGTAATCTATACTACCAGGTACTGAGAAAAAAATATTTGAGCCAAATATATTTTCAGACAAGTATTGTAGAATTTTAAAATCTTACTTTCTCAAAAACTCATTTTTGTGACATTCATCTTTTTTCCCCTGTACCCTTCAAATGACATTACTGAAATGTTTAGATAAATAAAAACTCGATGGGTAGGTTAAAGTACGTATACATTTATTATTTAAAATGAAATGTATTGACAAATAATAAATAAACAACGGAGAAATATCAAAGAAAATATCATAAAATATACCATCGACCGTTTCCCTACAGAAAATACATACACCTCTGACTAATACCTAGACAGGCATTAAATTAAATCTATAAAATCCAGCAGAGCTATCTATCTAGAATCTAGAGCTTACTAAAGTAAACGTAAAAACAAAATACATAATAATTGCACCTTGGTTAACGAATGGTCTTCTAAAATCGATAAATAAAAAAATGAGTTATTTCAAAAAACTATAAAGAGTCCGAATAATATGGCTATTAAAAGAGAATACAAGCATTTAAAAAAAAATTAAACGCTTTAATAAGAAAAACTAAATATAACTATTTTACAAATAAAATACAAAATAATTTAATAATTCACAAAAATTATGGAATACTGTACAAGAAATAAGTGATAAAAAAAAACGAAATCTTCCATAAATATTATTAAAAATAAGTTGAACCAAAAATTAACAGACAAAATTGATATCGCAAATGAATTTAATATTAGATTTAAACAAATTGGAAAGAAATTGGCACAAATCATTAAAACTAACTGTTACTATAAACCTTCACGTAATGTCCCAAACTGGTTTGTCTTTACTTCTGTAGAAGAACCTGAAATAAAAAACGCAATAAATGAATTAAAAAATAAGAAAGCTGTAGGTATTGATAATATAAAAATAAACAAATTAATAACCGATTTTATCAACTAAACCATTAAAACATATTTTTAACGAATTCATTAAAAAAAGAGAATATCCGACTTCAAAAAATCAATAATTATCCCACTTCACAAGCAAAGAGATGTTTCAGATGTAAATAATTATCGACCAATTTCTATGATAACACATATTTCAAAAATAATTGAAAAAATTTAACATACTATCTGATAGCCAGTATGGGTTTAGAGGAAAAAGGTCAACGCAGGATGCAATATTGTTCTTAACATCTAAAATAATTCGAGCAATTAATGAAAGTAAGCCATGTTTACGTAGCTTTATAGACCTATTCGAAGGTTTGACACAGCCATAACTTACTTTTACAATCTTTGGAAGACATAAGAATAAAAGCTATCTTAGTAAGAGAGGTGAAGCCGTGAGAATAGATAATATTGTCAGTAATTATAAAACGGTTGAATGTGGTGTACCTCAGGGAACTGTATTAGGTCCAATTCTTTTTAATATTTGTTAATAATTTATTCTCACTTAGAAGTTCTGGTGATATTATCACGTTATGTGTGTCTTTAATAAAGAAAGATGTCACGTTTTACGTGCTCTTTAATATTTTTGAGACTATCTGTGTCCCGGGGGTTATCAATCAAAATATACAAATTCAGACCTTAATCGTGTAAGGACTCTATATTGCCTTACACTTGGCTTAGTAGCCCTTAACTGTATAAGAGTTCTACTCTTGATGTAAAAACCTGACACGTCTCTGTAAAAGGGCTGAAGGAAACACAATGTTTTCTCAAAACAAATTTAATATTATAATTAAAATAGGATACAAAATAGATCACAGCTCGATACACAAATATGGGCTCGATATAATATAAAAGACAATAAAATACTTACTTACCAACTCCACTAATATTTGAGCACATGAAATTATTCAAAATACAAAATAAAGACTTTTAAATTAGACTATGAAGATCATGAGTTGGAGCTGCTACAGGGATTCTCCTACAAGGGCGACCTCCTATGGGGAGGATCTTTACCCTGTAGAAAAAGCCCTGCGCATCACCTCTACATCACCTTTATAACTTTTTCATAGTTTATTGTTATTAAAACTAATGTTTAATAATTATTGAATAATCAACCTTGCACATGATTACGATTCAAAACAAATTGTCGACATACATAAACAAAGTTTTATGTACAGGATGTTATTTAAATAAATAATTAAAATTGGGAAAAATATGAATTTATGCGAGTCGTGACAATATTTTAGAATTTGCAGATGATAGCGCAATATTTTATGAATCGGATACCTGGCATATTCTTAAATTAAAGGTCGAGATTGATTTCTGTAACATAAAAAATTGGTTAGAACATAAATTATTAACGACAATTATTAACAAAACTAATTACTTACCTTCTGCTTGCAAATATTTGAGTTTACCAACATTTAACCGACTGTGGATAAATGCTGATCAACCATCTGAAATTTTACCTGTAGGTAAAATAAAATATTTAGGAATCATTTTAGACCAGCACATGAAATGGAAATTATGTCTTTTATATTTAATTAAAAAACTTATATAAAAAATTATATTATACAAATTTAGAGTACTCAAAGATTTACTACCTAAGCAAATTCTCAGGTTATTATATTATGCGTTAGCTAAGAGCCATTTACGATATGGAATTTTAATTTGGGGATGTGCTTTAAAGACTAATATACAACCATTAGAAGTTATCCAACGACGCTTCTTAAAAATTATTTATAGCAAAAAATCCCGATATCCTTCTGATGCTCTATATTGTGAATCCCAAATTATGGATGTGAGGCAATTTTATTTCTATGAAAGCAATATAAGATATTACAACAAAAAAGAATTTGATGCAACTTCCTCATATAGTTATAACACTCGGCAACAACATTTTTTTAAATAAGGATAATTTCTTTAAAAAAATTAAAAAAAAAATTAAAAACATTAAAAAACTAATCGTCTCCATGTGCTTTTTAAATTTTGACTGCACCCGAAGATGGAAACAAAGTTTTCCGAAACATATGTAGTGCTGTGCTAACGATATAAAATAAAATTTAATGACCGATTACACCAAGGAAATTTTTATTTATATAACATTTTTTTAGTGTTCCATTCATGTTTAAAACTGTTACGCAACATTCCCAATTATTCATAGCACCTAAACTACCACAAATAAACAATAGATAAATTTAAAAAAACTTCTAAAAAATTATATTTTTGAAATTAATAGGAATGCTATTGCCAGTTATTTTGATTTTCAAAATTAATTATACGTAGTTTACCTGATCCATTTTACTACTTATATGTTATTTTATTGTATGTTATATTTTATGTTTTTAATTCATAATATTTTCTTTTATTAATATTTTTAAATACTACTTATTCTTAATATTTTATTATACACACATATATTTAAATTTTTTCATACCGTTTTCCTTAATAGGAATTACTATCGTTACCGAAACAAGTGTGTATTCACTTATCGGTTACCAGCTTTATTTATATTTTCGTTGTAATTATAATTGTAATTTAGTGTAATCTAAATAAAGCATTATTATTATTATTATTATTTTTGGCAAAACTATACTTGTTTCAGGAGCGCAGAAGATTGTGGCACGAGCCGGAAGTTGTACTTAATTTTTTAAATAATTTACTAATTAAATATAAAAAAACAATGTTGAAATATATTCTTTATAACTCCAAGATTATTTTTTTATAAAAACAAAAATAATAAATTACAGACATAATACAGCTGAAAACGGTCAAATCCTAATGAAAGATTGGCTCTCCAAATAGCCCTAAATTTGTTCTAACTAAAAATTCCTAAATAAAAAAATAAAGGAAACAAAACAGTACCATTATGTTAAAACTTTTATTGAAATACATGTACCTACCTCATAAGTAACCATGTCACGTTCAAAGTATAAAAGTTTTATCTAAACCTGTTAATAACCTTGCTACACAATCAGGTATCAAGACTAAACATTAAAACTGTGTTAAAACTTAATTTATTACACCGCAAGTTCTAACCTAGAAAGATATACATAGTGAAATTGTTAATAAATTTAAAGATTTCAAAACGTG